TGAGGAGGAGGAAGAGAAAGAGGAGGAGAACTGGGGAGGAGGAAGAGTAGGGGGATGAAGATAAGAAGGAGGACTGAGAAAGACTGGGGAGGAGGAGGATTGAGGAGGAGGAAAAGGAGGATAAGGAGGACTGAGAAGGTATCATACATACGAGGACTGAGGAGGAGGAGTATGAGGACTGAAGAGGAGGAGAAGGACAGAGAAGGAATCGTACATTATAGGAGGACTCAGGAGGAGAACTGAGTAGGAGGATGAGCAAGAGGACTGATGAGGAGGACTGAGAAGTTATTGTACATACGAGGACTGAGGAGAAGTAGGAGGACTGAAGAGGATGAGGAGTAGGAGGACTGAAGAGGAGAAGGAGGACTGAGGACCTGAGAGAGAGAGAGAGAGAGAGGGATATAGAGGGAGAGGGATAGAGAGAGAGTAGGAAGACGATGAGAAGTTGGATAAAGAGATATATTGCACACATAGAGGCCGTACGTGTGAGAGCTCTAAATAGAAAATAGGAAGTCAGTGACAAGTCGGGTAAAGAGATGAACTCTATAGAAAAGGGCCAGGAGAGCGAAGGATGAGGGCAAATAGGAAGACTGCAGCTGCGAGAAGTCAAAAGATGACATGAAGGTAAAACAAAAGAAAGCAACCTTATACTTAAAATACTTAACAGAATTGAAAATGTACTCAAGCTTTTTGCCAAAAACCGAATAGAAGGGGCCCTTTGCTTCTGTGTCCTGGCGATTCTCAGTTTGCTCATTAAAAGTCTGTGTAGTCTGATGTAATATGTTTTAACGCACAAATCTCCGGTTACAGGCTTCAGCAATTGTTCACTAACCAATTAGACCTGAAATGAAAGAAATTGTATAATGGGAACCAGGTTACGATAAAAATGATCATCAAAATTACTTTTTTTAAGAAGGATACCTCACTATTCAAACATCACATATCAATTGTCGTTTGATGTTGTATTTAGTAAACCACCGGCTCTGCTTGTGCACAACACAAGGGTATTTATTTTTAAATGCACTATCCAAGGATGCTTTATTACATACCTTATGCATTTAATCGTTGCAGTTGTTTCTATATGTGGCAGTCCTGAGCGTCAATCTTTTTCGTCTTTTGTCTGCTCATTTCTCATTTCAAATCGATGAGGCAGGACTAGAATTTAGCAATGTTCTGTGTGCTGTACCTAACTATAGTGTGCGTGGCATTTATTATCTTGGTCTCCGTAAATGTGGAAACCATTGAATATGTCTACCAATGCTCCTCAGTCGACCACAAAGCATTTAAAATAGCGTTTAGTGTTTTGACCAGCTGTGTATTTAGATGAAGCAAGGTCAGGAACCCAGCATGGTGGAGGATAATGACAGTTATCGTGCAATAATATCTGTCACTTTACTTTTGTAGCTTTCAATTCTATCAGAATCGTAGTTTGTAAATACACATACCTTTGATGAAGTAAATGTTAGACAGTGTTTTTTATGAATATATCCCCGTGAAAAACTTACTTAACAACAGTAAGATAATAAACTTCTGAGAAATTCAATCATGAAGGGTCTTATTTCATCAAAAAAGCTGAAGTTTGAAGGCCATTGAAAATGTTCAAATGTTCAACGCTGATATAAATGAAAGCCAAATATATATGTAATCTTCAAGCTCAACTGTCCATCATGTCTGTTAGATTATGATAGTTGCAGTTCAACTACAGTAAAAGCAGATAAAATTAAAACAATTATGCCCTTAAAACAGTATGTCTTGAAAGAGCAGTTTCTTCTGGGCTTCTGGTTGTTAGAAGGCATCTCAGTTACCAGTACTTGTGATTCCGCGGTTATAGCTTGAACCATGTTTTGTGCATGCAACACTTAGATGAACCGTTGATTAGAAACATTGAAGAGATTTCAAAGCAATCTCTTGCAGTACTACAATAATAATAATAATAATTCTATACTGTTACATAATTTAAAAATTATGGCCCCTTATTGTGGGCAGAGTAGGTGTCTTTATTTAAGTGTCCTGATTTAAAATCATCTGAGTGACTGCATTGAAATAATTTAAGGAGAGTACCATAAAAACGTTAAACAAAAGGAGTAACAACTAGAACATCCTTATATTAATATCAACATTAGAACAAAATACAGTCACCTAATTCTCTTCTCCTACGGTTGAGTATAGAGGAACCATCTGTGGTGTGTATTAGGGACTTAGGACCATTACAAATACCCTGCTGTAAGGTTTGCAAGGTATGTGGACTAAGTGGGGTCGAGAGTACTCGACTTGGAAGTGGGTGTTGAGAATTCTCAACTAAACTAGAAGATAATGATGTCCAGAGATGAGGCAGTAGATGGAGTAGTAAAGGAGTAGTAGAGGCTGAAGGGGAGTGATGTCATAAGGAGATGTAGGACATGAAGGGGATGGAGGTGAAGGAGTACTA